TAGAATGATGGGTGAACATGTTTTGCAATTCTTGTTGCTCGATTGTAGTTTGTAATGTCAATGTATCTTAATAAATTAACATTATTATACTTGCATAATGTGTTGATTATCAAACATTTGGAAATTTTTAATATTATAACTTGAATTGGCTTTTTTTTTACTAAAGGTTTAGATTGAGGAATCATGTTACTAAAAAGTAGATTTATTATTTATAATTATTTTATTAGGATTTTCTCATTTTCTCTAATTTTTTTTAAGATTTTTTTTAGAGCTTTTAAAAAGACTTTATTCATTGGTTTTGTGGTTTAGAAATTTAAAAGCCAATTACATGTTCATTGTATTTTGTTTTGTACTTACATGTTTAAAGACAATTGACACTTCTTTGAATTTCACATTTTTTCGTAGAAAAACATATTTTCTTGTTTCTATTATCTAATACTTTGACTCTATTTTGTTTGTTTGTTTGTTTTTTTGTTTTTTTTAATTCTTTAAATTTAAGATTATATTTATGTACCATAGTTTACTGATTTTCAATTTTCAACCAATTCAAGAAAAAAATAATAAATATTAGTTCAAAATATGTATGTTTATACCTTTATATCATATATATATATATATATATATATATATTTCTTCCAACTTGATTTTTTTTAAACTGAGTAAAAACAGATACAGTAAAGAATTTTTGAATTGAGTTTTTTGAGAGAAAAACATTACTATTGATTACAAGTAGATATACTTCTTGTTGTATCTATTTTTATATATACATATGCAATATTTCATGTAGCTTTTTTGCATTTTCTAAAGAATTTGAAATTGGTGCATTTTCTTTCTAACCAATTTTATTGAACAAATATCTAACTAAAGTCCTTAGTCAATATTTAACTTTAAATTAATATTTTTGTCATGATTCTTTTTTAATTCTTTCAAAACATTCTTTAAAGATTTTATGATGTATGAAACTTGATAAAATAGAAAAGTAATCAAAGATGTCGAAAAAAATGAATACAAAACAAGGCTGTTATATTAAAATCTAAATTCACATGCATGCAATCACAATTTTGTTAAACTACATACTAGCGCAATTCAATTTCTTAATGATTGTCTAAAAAACAATTCTATGTCACCACCAAATAGGGAAAATAATTGTTGCAAAGACTATCTCTGCTCTCTTTTGGACCCTCAATAAGGACATATATTAAATAGCTTGCAAGCCTGCAATACTACATGTATATTTCAGATGAAAAAAATGTAAGACTTTCTTATAATAATAATAATAATAATGGGTGTATTTTTATTAATAACTTGAATCTAATAAAATTTAAAAATCTTTTTAAAAATTAATTAATCTGCTACTAAAACATTTAATTCTATCTGCAAAAATGTATTAAAATAATAATTTATTTTGCAATCGATAAGAAAATTAAAGCTATCATAACTAATATACTGATAAATACAATAAGAAATAAATTAAATAATTAGATTGTATGTTAGATAATAGCATCAAATAGATGACATGACTTCTATTTTGGGTATATATTATTATTTTTTAATTCTATAAATTAAAATTTTATTTAAAAAATAAATGTAATTATTTTTAATATCATTTTTTTAGTTTATATCTTATAATTTAATACAGAATATATCTATTTTATAATATTATATTTTTAAAATTAAAATAAAATAAAATAAAAAACCATTCAAATCACCCAGATTATAAAGTTTTGAAAATCACAATGTTTAATAGAAGACGATCTTGTCAAGAAAGTAAGTTAGAATTAACATGAAATACTAGAAAATTAACACTTGAATGAAAGTTTTACATGCATATAAAAAGGATATATATATATATATGCATACATACATAAGATAATTAAAGAGTAACACCAAAGATTTTGGACTCTGTGGATCAAAAGTAAAAAAAATTATATTTAGCTGTTATTTAGTAAACTAGAGAATACACTGAAACATATTGTTACAAATAAAAATTGATAGAAAGAAGAACATATAAATTTAAAGACATTAGATGATTATCAATTTATACAGTAGATATCATTTCATATAAAAAATTATATATTTTAAAAAGAGATGAATTTTTAAATTTAATAGTAAAACATTTATGCATTTATAGATTATCAAGAGTTTGGAAAAATTTACATATTTATAGATTAGAAGAAGCCGAATATTTAAGAACCAAAGTTGTCATGAATCTTTTAAATATTTATCTTTTAGTTAGTAGAATTTTCATTTGATTTATTGAATTTTGAACAATCTATTATTCTTTTAAAATAGATTTCTTAACTATTTAATTTTATATGATATGGTTAATATTTTAATTAAATACATTATACAAACACATCTATAATAAATTTTAATTGAGTGTCTTCTACAAAAAGTAATAAAGCCATTTTATTATAAGAAATTATATAATTTAAAACACATTAGGTAAAATAAATGTTTTTTGTAAAAATGGATTTGAGTGTTCTATTTAATTTTATATAATATTTTATTATTGGAGGATTTTATAATAATTGAGATAATATTTTAGTTATGAATAATTTAATATATTATATTTTAATTATATATTCTAATTTTATTTAGGATTTCGATCTTTATTTTTATTAAAAGCTATTGCAATATGATTCCTTTTGACAACTGTTTTAGTTGGTAGAAAGTTTGAGTTATTCATTAGAAAGAAAAAATTATAGTATACATCAGTAAGAAACACACCAAAAAAAGGATGCCTCATTTTCTTCATAAACTAATTGAAATTACTATTTCTCAAAAAATATCTTATTTAAAATTAATAAGACCCAAATACATACAATTTCTCTAAATTTGCTTACTGCTTAAAATCCTAACTCAAAAACTTTTTGGTTTTTTTGATAAATATATCTAATTTTTTTTATTAGACACCTTCAATTAAGAAAACTAAGAAAAAATTGTGTATATGGAGCTAATATTATTTGATAGTATTAGTATCTACAATAGTTTGGTATAATTGTTTTGCAATTGGCTTTGTTTCTATTATGTTAAATAAACAATTTTTATTGAAACATGCCTTTAAGCTTATTTGGTAGGTCAACATTGGCTAAATCTGTGTGATCAAATATAAATTTGTAAGCAACTTTGTTGGTATTAAGAACATCTAAGATAAAATTAAGTTGAGTTTGGTTTTTTTTGGCAATTGCAACTGCAACATTATTTTGGTAGTCAATACTAAATATTTGTATTTGATCCTCTTAATGTAGATTTTAAAACATGTAATTAGAACTTAATGCATATAATAAATATTCAATACATCTAAGAATGATGTGGTTACATTCCTTTAATATTAAATGAATATACTAAATATAGTATAGTTTTGATATGTACAATATAGATTTTGAAAGTAAGAAAGCAAAGTTTTAGAATCCTTTCTTTGATAGAATGGTTTAAAAAACTTACATGAAATCCATTATTGACATGTATACAAAAATTTAGAAGCTGATTTTAAAATAAATTAAAAAAATAAAAAAAATAGACATGCGAAATGATTACACATGCATAATACCCAATGATTACCTAGGAAAAATATAACAACTTTGGGACCACAAACAAAGATAAAAAATAAAAAAATAAAATCGATTATCTTTGGTAATTTATTTCCACCAAAATTTTATTAAAGGTAGTTGACAATTGACATATCCTACTTACTGTACAACAAGTCACGACAAGGTTAGAAAGAGAGCCTTGTCCAACTCCAGGCTACCATTGTTGTCCCCTCCTTTTCACATTCCCAAAAGCTCAAATTTTTTAATTTTCTCAATATTCTATTATCAACTTTCATACTCTACTTGTAACCATAGATTATTATTTTTATTATTATTATTGATCTCCCAATTCTGCAACATTTTTCCACCATTTACCCATATTCTGCACGCATCTGACTCACTAACAAAGCAGAGCTGGAGGCAAACGGCAACCCAAGGCTGTGTGTGTGTGAGAGAGAGAGTGAGGGTCTTCCGAGTGAATCCAGAGCCATGGTTATACCGCCAGTTTGACATGGACAGTGACACAGGAACACTCATTTTTATTTGCTATTCTAGCAGAAGATAAACCTCACGCTTCCATATCTTCACTCGTCCGCGTCGAAGAAAACACAAAAGGGTCATTCATTCATTCCTCTTGACGGCAAGGATTCGGTTCCTCTTCCACACTCCACCTTCTGATTGTACCAAATGGAGAAAAAAAAAAGAATTCGACCTCCATTCGCTCCCAGCCAGACACTCTGCGATTGCAATCGTTGCAAAGTCGCCATTTTCTGCGTGTCAGAGACACTGGTATGAACGCGAGCTGATTCATCTGTTCGGGTTTGTGGACTTTATCTGACAGATTCTTCGCACTTAGCGTTACAGAATGATTGTGACAACATTATTATTCGACCGACGACGACTCTTCTTTGGGTCGACAACTGTTCCCCGCCATGACCGTCGGAGGAACCGATTCCGTGTTCTCGAAGCTGCCCCTCATTCTGCGAATCTCTGACCTAGTTTACGGATGTTGTTGACATATTTGGGAACTAAATCGTGCATCTCTCTATATGTAGCTCGCGCTAGTTAAAGCGTCCTTGACAAGCTTTGTGGCGAATCACCGGCTGAATGTTTACCAAGTTGTGACGTTGCGTGAGAAAATTCGCACCAAGGAAGTTTGTTTTCCGGTAATGATAGGAAGTTGTAGAATATGGCGTGTGAAGCAGATTTGTGAGATCGGTGGTACACAGCCGATTGACACAGTACGATTGTGTGTTGGTGTCGGTGCTTGGATTGTAGGATACAGTACTATTATTGGGGTGTTGTAGTTGATTGGATGGATATCACAAAAGTAGCAGTGTTCCTGTGCACTTTGTATCTACAGCGCAAGAGAAACGCTTTCACAATTATGCTTCCAACAGTTTTACATTCATCGCAGTGATTATGTTTTACGATATGATATGTGTTGATGAAGGCTGAGACCCCAAATGGACACAATATGGACAATCTATTAAAAGAGTGGATGTCACAACAGTTCCCTCAGTACTGAATAGAATGATCGGGAGGTAATCCGTGCCCACATATTCATTCACGGCAGGTACATAGTCCCAAGTATATCTTCATTACTGACAAACATTCCAAGCTGATTCTCGGTACATATGTCCCCAGTTTTTGTTTGAGAAACTTGTCATGGTGATGTTCATTGCTGTTTCAGCAATGCCTGTGAATAATCCGTCTGTACCAGGAGTAGATTTGTCCGGCCACATGATCTAAACAAGACTCTTACCCAATTATGTACCACAAAGCGTAAATCACGTAGATGTTATATCAAATTCTGGTACTGGCTGGCTGGCGGTGAGCTCATAGGTGCGCAGAAGGAACCACTAAAGTCCATCATTGATGTTGGAGCTCTCCATGACCAGCGATTGCAGCAAGTATCGAATCCCCACAGCTGGGAAATTCCATCGAGCCCTTGCAAGGGATAGATCTGTATGGCAACCCAAGATATAAATTAAAAATTAAAAATTAAACAAAAATCAGTGTGTATGATTCGTTGCACACAGATTAGAGCATTCCATTCTGAAGGTCTGGAATATGAATATCTGCAAGGAAGATGGAAAGGAATGTCATTACAGAGACTTACCATTTCGGTTTGCACGAGCAGCTGAGGATGTCGAAGACTAGCTCCATGAATAGCTACACATGAAAGACAATGAACGATGCAACCATCTTTAAAATCATGGATTACCTTGAGCCCGCGCGCAAAACATGGTTTATCTCATACGAATCCAATTCATCGAACACTCGAGTCTACAGCTTGAGGTGGCACCAGCTTAAGAGCAATCAAAGCGTCCAAGAGCTGCTTCCATCGCTGCTCGGTCGACCCCGTGAACCCAATCGACATGCGCACAAGCCCCGGGGAAATTCCAGACACAGCTTTCTCCTCGCTCGTCAAGCCCGAGCTTGTACTCGATCCCGAACACGACATGAGCGTGTCGTGGTACCCTAAACTCACAGCCATCCAGCCGAAATGGGCTACGTTCTGCAAGTAGCGCATAAAATCCTGCGCTCTCTCCTTCGTGTCTAAATCCAAGCACATCATCCCACCGTAGCCATAGCCGTCGTTCAAGAGCTTCGTCATGAGCGCGTGGTGGGGGTGGTCCTGTAGCCCGGGGTAAATCGCCTTCAATCCCAACTTCTTCAGGCGCTTGGCGTAAAGCAAGGCCCGAATCCCAAACTCCTTCATCCGAATTGAGAGGTGCGGGATGCGAAGGCCGACCTGGAATGCGACGTGGGGGTCCATCGTCGGACCCAGTAGCATGAGCGCGCCATGGTGGAGGTCCATCATTGCGCTGATGAGCTCCGCCGGTCCGCATACCGCACCGGCGATGATATCGCCCGCGCCACTGATGTACTTCGACAAGCTGTGCACAACGACGTCGGCGCCCAATCTCGCTGGAGAGAGAAGCAGAGGCGCAAAAGTGTTGTCGACTACCGCCGTCAAGCCCCGGCTGTGCGCTAGGTGCGCAAGAGCTGGAATGTTCGCCACATATAGCCGCGGATTCGACAGCGATTCAAAGTACAGCACCTTCGAATTTGGTTGCACGGCAGCATGCACCGCGTCCAAGTCGTCCACATCTACGAATGTCGTCTTTATGTTGCAAGTACGGGGGAGGAAGTGCGCCAGCAACGCATGAGTACCACCATACAACCGGTTTGATGCTACGATGTGGTCACCGCTGCTGCAGAGCTGAAGCATGACTGCGGCTATAGCGGACATGCCGCTCGCAGTGCAGTAAGCGGCCTCTGTGTCTTCGAGAGCCGCCATTTTGCGGCCCAAGCTTAGCACTGTCGGATTGAAGTGGCGGCTGTACAGGTATAGTCCATGGTCGGTCCCGAGCTCTCCCGAGAACAGTTTGTTCAGCGTCTGGGGCTCCACGATAGCAAACGTCGAGGACGCCTCGATCGCCACATTCACGCCACCATGCTGCCCGAGCCCCTGATGCACATTTGCTAACGTTTGCACTGGATCTGGAAATTTCTTGATAGCGGGGCCGGTATGTCCCATATCCAAGTCCGTGTCCGCTCGCTCCCTCAGACCACGTTTGCACGAAACGCCATGCTTCAACTCCCCATTGCTAATCGACATGACCACTGAATTGCTCACTACTCTTTCGAATCCCTCTCTGCGATGCCTCGAATGACTTCTGTTGGTTGTGGATAATTCGACAACAGGTCTAACTACGCAACAATATTGGAAACTGTGAGCGGCAGACCAGATGAAAATAGCACCAGATTCGAATATGCGACAACCAATTGACGCTCGTTCCACTCCGAATCGGGCAAGAATTCAAGATTGACCTCACAGATGTCAGATACGCTCCGAATTTGATCGCAAGGACGTCAACACCCCACGAATTCGATCGATGAGGCGAACCTCAAAAACCAACTTGGAAATCTAACGGTGTAACCTCACCTCACCTCTGCGCAAAATTGGCGACTGCATCGACGGCAGATACCACTTCGGAACAATCTTCCATCCTCTTCCCTCAACCCCCTCCACTTTCCCGCAGACTGCTGGGCTTTTAGGTGAGTACGAGTTTCGATTTCTGTCTCCACCAAACGCTCCAACTTCTAGACAAATAAAAAATACGACTGTTAACAATGAATATAATACTGCCAGTGCACCGCCAGCTACGACACTACCCAAGCTTCGCCACCATGAGCACTACCCCACTACGCCTGGATTCACTTCACTCGTTATTCCCTAACAGTCAGTGAGTGCTGTGTCCTAGATCGTGCAACACCTACATGGGGAAAGATCAGACTTCGGACCTCCCGAAGGGTTCGACCAACACGTCCCTGGGAGCACCAGAATTATTCTAAGCTTCCACGGACGTTGGTAGTGATCTAGTCCTCGTGACCAGCACGAAGTACTTCAACGTGGTCCGCAGGCCTGCTCATGACTTCGCCAGCAACAGAGGCGAGGCGTGGTGTGGGAGGGGGGAGGGAAAGGAGGAGGCTAACGGCGCATGAAGACGAAGCAAGAGGGCAGTCAATCCCACGTTGCGCTACGATGGTGAAGATTCTGTTGTGGTAGTAGAGAGTGACGAAGATAAGAATCGGCACGCGACACAACAAACAACGCCGGTCCGGTGGGCGTCGCCTCCCGCCCCGCCCCGCCCCGCGACGCGCGCTTCCTCTCGCGCCGTGTCCCGTTGTGTCGCGTCGCGTCCTTTCGCGGCGGCCGCATCGCTGAATCCAAGCTCGCATGTCGCATCGCCACTTTTTCCACCTTCTTTTTCTGATCCTCAAAGAATCCCACTTCTTTCTTCTGCATTTACTATCGTAAAAATTTATTTATATATTTCTTTGTTTGGAAATGTTAAATAGACCCAAGTTTTTACTAAATCGACGCACCCATCATAAACCAAAAAATGACCCTCTAGTTTCATTTCTCTGCAATTGGATCTGCAACCAATAAAAACCAACCACAGTCATTATGATTATCATATTCTTTATTATATGTGTGTGTGTATATCGATGCCTAATTTTTAATAGGGCATCTCTAATTTATGTCCAAATTCACTTAGTGATTGTTGTAGTGTTAGTTATTGTTCTCTACTCCAATCACTTTATTTTCTAAAGAAATCTCACATTTTTAGAATGAATGAACATTTAATTCAAGAGAGATCTATTAGTAATGAACTACAATTATCTACAAAACAATATTTATGATTTTTAACAAGAATTTATTAGTTGATTTTAAAAAAGATTGTATGATTTAAAAAAGGACAATCACTATGTTTCTAAAATCAAAGACTATATAGATACTTATTAATCTTAATCAAATAGTTTATCTACCTTTGTTTTCTAATTTATAGTTTTGGATTATTATATGGTATAGACTATCATTTTACTCTTATTCAATATTTTAATATTGACTTTTACTAAATCAGAAGTCAATCACATATATTATATTAGAATAAAACGGTTTAAATGAAACTAAAACTTCACTATGTTCAATTAGAAATCATCCAAATTCTACAATATGCGGCTATGTGTATATAGTATATATAGTGATTGTACTTAAAGGACAAGAAGATAGCACAAAAGTTCTTAAAATATTATATTAAGTTTCAAGATATCTTTAATTTAACTATCTTAACTACAAATAGAAATATGGAATAGAACATATATTTAATATTAAAAAATCTAGACAAAAAATGATCAAACTTACACAATACAAAGTGTAAGTTGGTAAAATTTTGAAAGACATCATAAGTGTTTTACAAGATTGTTTTCTAAGTAGCTCAAAAATAACTTCATTCAAATAAAAGAACTAAAAAATATTGCTAGTATTACTCTTATGGCACACGTGTATTACAATCAATACTTGGAGTGTCTAAAAAATAGTGAAATAATAGTAGTATGCCAATTATCTCATTCACTCATATATAAAATCATCTTTTTATTTGGATTATATACAAACCAATATTTGGGTTATAAATATAGACTATAGAAAGAAACATCATTTTTTTTTTGTTATAATTTCTTGATGATTTAAAAGAAGTAACATAATTTGATCTGCACTTACAAGAATTTGTATGTAAATAATATGGATACAATGTAATTCAAAGACATTTAGCAAATAACACAAATTATTATTTTTTGGTCAAATAGCTTAAAATACAAGAATAAAATATGAAAATAATAATAATAATAATAATACAAGAATTAAGAATCATCTTAGGTTAAGAAAAATAATGATTCTTAGAACAATGGAACAAATTGTGAGTGCAAACATCACAAGCCCTATAGAAAATAAATGTCAATTTGTTGGCACACTAGAATCCTACATAGCAATATTATCATGCATGTTCTAACACACGGAAGCAGTTCAAGGGGGTTTAAGCACAATCTGATGTAATCAACATGCTCACAATCTGCCTCTTGGGATGATGTTGTAAAGATAAAAGTGGAGCCTTGTTACTGCTCTAACTATTAGTGCAATAGTTTACCCCCGGTGTGTGTGAAAAACAGAAAAAACAAAAATAATAATAATAAACACAACAACAACATCATCATGGTGGTGGTCCAGGTCAGGCAGCTAGCTTGTCCCTACATGAGTGTGTATGTGTAGATGTGATGATGACACCAAGGAAGGCGGTAGCGTCCCTGGATCCATCGTCGCTGGGCCCGCGCTGCCGGCGACCTCCTGTGCTGCTAGGCTCGCCTCCCTTTACGTTACCGCCTCACTCACTCCCTGCCTGCTACTTCTGCAAAAGGGGGAAATAGGGGGAGGAAGGGGACATGGCATAGCTAGCTAATTGGCTCCCTCCGCACGGTGATGTGGGTCGTACAACGCACACTTACCCATTCACACACCACCCACCCATCCCCCCATTTCCACTTACTAGTAGTTTACTGGTATCGAAATATCCCCATCGAGAGAGGAGGAGGATGGCTCACCTGTGCTGCACGAGTAGTAGGGACCCCCACCACCATCATCCTCCTCCTTCCTCTTCCTCCTCCAGTCCACACCTAAGCAGCAGCAGCAAACATTTGTGTATATATATAAATATATGTATATTTATCTATATATATATATATATATATATATGTTAGCCAAGCAACAGTGTGTGTGTGTGTGCGTGTTTTTTTCTTTTTTCTTTTATTCTTTTTTTCTTCCCACTGTTTAGAGTTCCATGACGTCAAGGAGGTAACTTGCCCTGAAACTCGGGTCTCTGAGATTCGCTGCAGCAATTGGAGGGGTCGCTGTGAGCATACCAGGTGGAGGCACTCTCGGAGGAGCCATGGATCCTGACACTGGAACATTCTCTCTGGGTGTGAGCAGGGCACACACGGACGCAGGCAGTACCTTCGTCTCCCTCCGTCCCTCATCTCCCTCCCGCCAGGCTCTCTGCTCTTGTCACTATAGAAGCAGACAAGGCTCAGTCTGATGTTGCGCTCCCTCGCTGGCTCAAGTTCCGCCGCGTTTTCCCAGCATTGTTGCAATAGGAGAAACGTGCTGGACTATTTCGAGGTGGACCAAGGATCGTGTTGCATTGGCAGACATTTGCAGGTTTCAGGCCATTTGTTGCAATCTGTTGCTTCCTCCTCATCCTGCATCACTCCAGCTCTCTCTCCACACCAATGCTCTTCATCATCTTTGCTCTTGTGTCCATGCAATTCAATGCTGCGTTGAATGCGGATCATATAATTAATTCATTTGTGTTCTACATTTGCGAGATAAACTTTGTGTGATCAATTTGCTAAAAGACGGACTGTAAAATTTCAAAGTCATTTGTGCTTCACATTTGCGATTTCACAGAATGCTTGAATTTCACAGTCACGTCTTTTAGCAACTACTTTTAAAAAATTTCCATAGAATAATTAAAAAAAAATTTATTGATAAATATTTAGAAACATTTTTTCACTATAATATTTGTACAACTTAAATGCTCTACCACAAACCAAAAATATTTCTACAAGAAGAAAAACTAGTTTAGACTTAAAATATTTGAAGACTTATAGTTGGATATCTTTTTCACTATAATTTTTATTAATTAAAAAATTTAAATGCTAATGTATGATCTAAAATAAATAAAATATAAATGATATCAATCATTGGATGGATTAATCAACCAACTTCTTTTATTTTTATTTAAATTAATTCTTAATTTTATTTTAGTGTTCTCAATTTTATTTATATTCACCTATATAACTAATTTTTATTACATGTTCAAAAATAAAATGATCTTTTTGTATAATGTATAATTTTTTTATTTATAAATATTTTAGTTATTTAGTATTTATAACACCATATAAATATGTATCACAGATATATATATATATATATATATATTTATATATATATATTTATTTATTCCAATAACTACCTATCTGATTGCGTAGAAGTAGGTAAAAATAAAGTAATTTTATAATATCTTCTAGAAAAGCTTTCTAAAAGCTTCATAGACACAATTTTGACTTTACATATATTTATAGTTGATTCATAGGTTAGAAATTTGATCAACAAGTTAACCACATTCCACACATATTGATAGCTTGTGGAATAATTATGTGGCGCACATATAGAAAACTTCCCTTGCAAGTAAAGATATGTGTCTTGCAAAGTCAACACATGTCAAAGACAAGAACTTGATGAAAGAAAATAAATAAGTTAGACTTTCTCAAAGAAGTATGATAAAATAGAAATCAAAAAACATGTATATTAAAAAGAAATTAAAGTGGCTATTACTAAAAGATAAAAAAACTAGAGACTTCTTGAAGCTAGACTAGAAGCAAAAAACGAATTGATAAGAATGAAGTAGGCTTCATTCTTGCCTCTATATACATTATTTATATAAGAGCTATGTAGAAATATTCTATAAGATCTTCAAAATGTGTTGACTTTGCATGACACATATCTTATATTGCAAGACAAGTTTTTTATATGGTTGCCATATAGTTAGCTTATTCTGCAAGTTATCAAAATGTGTGGCACGTGGTTGATTTATTGACTAAGTTTTTAACCTACCAATCAATGACAAACACATGTGAAGTTAAAGAATTGTCTATAAAGCTTTTAAGAAGCTTATTTAAAAGTTATTATAAAATAAATTTATTTTAATTTATTTCTATTAATTCATATTATTTACATATTAATTATAAAAAATATATATTTATAACGATTATTCTCCTTTCTAGAGACGAGTTCCATGAGGAGCAATAATCACATGTTGAAGAAGTCTAAGATGTAACAAATTATATTCATCACATATTCTTATCTTTGTTCCCTTTGAAGGTAGTTGATAGGTCTTCTCAATCATTAGTCATGTCCCATTTCAAGGTAGAAAGTCCATCTTTTTATTTGATTATTGTTGAGACTTTTTTAACTTCTTTCAAACAAAACATTTATAATACCATCATGAGTCATTTTGACTTCTAATAAAATCACCAAACATCGAGACTCTTTTTTCAAGTCGTGATATCAAATATATTGTATCTCACCATTTATTCAAGAAAAAACATGTCATTCTTAAAGATCTTCATCCTTATGATATTGTCTTGAAAGCTATGGTAATTGCAATGCCTTGTCCAAT